CCTGCATCTAGGATAGCAGCATCTGTCAAATGGCTCACTCACCTGCTTTCTCAGCTCTTACATTATGACTGTAGCTGTCCCCTGGGTCCAGCTATCTTCAACAAGCTACTATCCTGAATGGCTCCTACAACCACTTACCAAGCAGATCCTCAGAGCAGGTACTCAGCACACCCCACCTGTCTTCCCACTTCATCACTGAGTGGGATCTCTCCTCTCCATTGACATGTCCCGTTGGTCTCGGTCTGCCTTAGAGCATGGTGACAATTCTTACACGGTGCCTTCACCTGTGTTCCTTTTGCAATGCCTGCTGTTTTATTATTCAGTGCCCTGCATCTTACTTATTAGATTGCCCACATGATGCTCAGGTGGAAGAAAAAGAAGAGAAATACTGCAGGCATTAAACATCCCAGAAGCAGGCCAACAGCTATTAAAACATATAATTATGCCATTACTTTCTCTCCCCCCCCTCTTTGTTTTTAAACGGAGCAAAATATTTTTCCATTTATTTGTTATCAGTTGAAGAAGTGAATATTCTGAAAGCCCTCAAATGTTCCACTCCACTACCCCCTATTAACTTTCTAAGCACCCAGGAACCTTTGGCTCAGCTTCATGAAATAGCAAGGAAACTAATTAGACCAATAAAGCGCAGTGATTTAGTCGGGCACCCTGAGAAAGTGAACAGAACTTTTTAAATTCTTCTTTAATATACAGACATTAGCAAGCTAGTTTCTTGCGATCTACCCTGGCAGGAAATTTAATGAGGAATTACTGGAGTAAACAAACAAACAAATTACCTATGAGAAACAGCAATGCAATGTTGGAAGGGGATGAAAATTCGTGGTTCTTTTCAGCGATGGCATCTCCTGGGTGTCCCTTCCAGAATGGGATTCAGCAGTTTCTCAGAAAATGGTGCGTCTGTATCATTGTTCTTCTTGTGCCATTTCATATTTTACCTGGCAACGGAAATCAGAAGAGGTCTCAAGGGTTATGCAGATGAGTTTCAGGAGTTTCACACTGCAGCACAGAATGAAGAACTGAGTTCAGGTCTTCAGATGATGGCAACTTGGTGTCACTCTGACTCCAGTGCAGCAACAGTGAGGATCTTGCCCCCGGTTTATAAGGAGAGAAGACATCACAAGACTTCGAAAATGGTGTCCAATAACATAAAGTAGACCATTCCTGTCAATGAATACACTGTGGTTATAAAATCCAAGTCCTGCTACATATAGCAGGAGTGGCTGTGATACTCTTTGTGTAGCCATTTCACAACTCCCCCTCTCATACACATCTACAGCTAGAATTTAAGTGACAAAGAGAAAATCCAGCAGTCTGCTGTGGCCTGGGAATTTGCTGTTACCGCAGTATAACAATGAGATGACTTGCATAGGAAAGGACTTCATTATAAAAGAAAACACCACGAGACAGATGCACCAGTCTTGGTACTTAGCGTATCTTTGAGATGCAGCCATACACTGTTGGTTCCAGAAGGTTTTTTTCATGGCATAAAGCATCATATGCCTCCAAAAAATGTTTTGTGGAAACACTGTGCTGGCTCTCTAGCCTCTTTGCACTTCAGGGGCTGCATGTCATACAAGAAATACTACATGACAGAGTGCCTATGGGTTGTGAACACCCCTTGTGTCAACGGTGAGATTTGAAGCTATGTGGGTAGCTTCTTTAGCAGCTTGAATCAGACAGCTTAGCTACAAACTTGGTGGTGTGACCAACCTGGTGAGAGCAGTTTTTATCAAATGCTTCCTGCTTTTAAAACCTTTACAGGGTCTAACTGGCTGTTATCTATCCCACTTTTGAGTCCAGTGCCTCTGCTTCAGGGGCGCAAGGAGGAGTCTTGCCCTTACATCCCCAGCAGTGGGAGGCAGAATGTCCCATCAAGCTTCATAGCATGCATGAATGTCTCAGCACTTGCACATTTTGAAGGGATGCTTAGTACCAGCCCCTGCCTGCTGGCTGTACTGTGAGGGCTGGGGAGGAAGGGGAAGGTGGGACTACGTGGATGCTTTGTAAGGGAGGGAGGAGGGTATGCTCCTGGAGCTCCTCTAAATCACGGCACAGCAGTTATGCCTGGTTAACACACTTTGAAATGTGTGGGGGGACCCCTTACATCTTCCTCCTGCCTCATAATGCATCTCTGAAAAAGGACAGGCACAGTCCGGCCCTGCTTGTTGCTGAACCTGTGTGTTGGTCTTTCATCCAACACTTGAAAGACAGACATAGAGCCCCAGATGTGCTAAGTTAGGTGCACACCTATATGCAGTTGGGCAGGCACATAGCAGGAGTGCTTCCCTTCATCTGCACTGAACATTGAGAATCTGGCTCGCCGGGATTGCAGCAGGGCAGCTGCAAATGCTCAGGGCCTCGTGGCCAGGTGTTCAGTGGTGGTGATGAGCACCCACAGCTGCTAGTGATGGTAGCTGGACCTGTGGGAGTTCACTCATTCTGTACCTCTCAGCCTTTCCCACTTCTCTTTCCTACTCACCGGGTGACCAGAGGCCAATCAATTTCTTTTAAAAAAAAAAAAAAAAGTGCAAATTGTGTGCGATTAAAACTGCATCATTTATTTGGTAATACAGCATGTAATTTGGGGACAGAAATGGATGGAAGCAGGACAGGAGGGCAATGCCAGAGGGTTAACTTAATAAAGTGAGTCTTTAAGAGGGACTTAGGAGGAGAAAATGGTTGTGAGCCACAGGGAGGGATTGTGGAAGGGCAGGGGTGAATGAAGATGCAAAAGGTTTACATAACTTATTGGCATGTAACTGTCCTAAATGAAGACAAAAAATGAGAGCTGTTTGCTGGAGAGAGAATGAACCCAGCTTGTCCCCTGGAGTAAAAATCTTTGGAGGAAGGGTTGGTTCTGGCAGGTGTGAAATGGCCTACTTTCATGGATATGCGTGAAGCTAAACAGATTGAGAGGGAGCTGGGGAGCTGGCCCAGCTTAAAAATAAGCCAAGTTCATGAACAAGAAGCAGCACGGATGGGACAGAAAGTTGTTTTCCAGGTTGGTTCTTGTAGTGAGCTCACCATGCAAGTTCTTGAAAAGACATTCACCAAACAATACCATCAACAGAAGAGGTTTTATATAATAGTGATCACTCAGACTCAAGACCAGCTGCTGCTCATTTGCCTTCAACCTTTTGATCCGGGAGGTACTCTTGCATTGAATAAGGAATTGATTGGTTGGTTGGAGGGCATGTGTGGGTAAGGAGAAACACCATGCAAATTGTCTTTTTCTCCCTGCTTCCTTCCAGCAGGCCAACAAACTTGGACCTGTTAGTTAATTAAAGAGAACAACCAAATTTCTTCTGCTCATCTATGCCTGTGAAAGGGTGCGATCCATATCCCATTGGAGATGGAGTCTCAGTGGGAGAAGGATCAAAACTTAAACCAACTTCTTCCTCTGAGTAGTCCCCTTAAGCATCTTGGGTGAAAGCTTGTGACCCCACTGAAGTTACTTATTCAAGTCACCAATCCTTGGGTTCAGTGTAGATCGGGAACTCCTTGGGCAGGGATGGTTTTTGGTTTGGGGGTGAATTTCAGGTCACAGTCCTCTTTGCAGGCATGATTTTGTCCTTGAAAAATGTGTGGGCTTAAAATTTGCACCAGTTGCATAATTAGGGGTGGGCGAGTGGGGCATCAGCCCAGGGAGCTGATGTAGAGGGCCTGCAAGATTGGCAGCAGCTGTTGGCAGCCCCGCCACCACTGCTGCCTAGGATGCAAACGCTGCCTGTCACGCATCTGATTTATGCCAACCTATGAGTCTGGCTTTAGTGAGCCTGCAATTGGCTGCCTGCAACTTTTATTTGTTTTTGCAGGTGGAAGTCGTGTCTACCCAAAGGGCAGCTGGGCTCAAAGATAGTCTTGAGAGGGAAGGCACAGTATTTTAGGTTTGCTGCCCTTTCTGAAAGAGTTTTATATGGAAAACTGCTGCCTTTTCAGCTTATCTTTCTCAGAAAGGATGGAGAACTGTAAAATCAACTGAAAAATTGATCTTAAATTGCAAAAAATTGTACTTAAATAGCAAATAAACTGCTCAAGTGGCTAGCCTGATTTCTTATGGAATTCCTGAAATATATACGGACGGGAGAGTGAAGAGCCAAAGGAGGCAGAGCAGAGTTTTCTCCTACCCAGGCTTGGGGTGATATATTTCTCCTCCCTTTTCAAAGACACGCATTGGTATTTGTATTTATTACAACAAGCAATCATTGACCGGTCTGACTTTCTGCCAGCAAATCAGGGACATGTTTTCAGCCTGCCTGCTTCTGTGAGTGGAACCGACTGGCCCAGGAGAGGTGATTACAATTGTTTTTTGTACACACATGGTTATTGATGAGCACAAATCAGGCAGAAGGATGGAAATGCAAACTGAATGCGGATGCCTTGAGCTTGACTGAAAACCTAGTCCCCAGAAATTAGGTTTAATGGGTGTGAGCCCACCCTCTCCGTGAGTGTGCATCTTCCACAGGCAGAAGGGAACGGTCAGCAAAATCTTCCATACAGCCTCTTCAGTAAAATAGGACTTCTCTCCCCCCCCCTTAATTCAAATGGGGCTGGGATGTCATTCATAGTGAGAAACATGGGACAGTTGGATCGGCAAGTGGCCTTTTACTCATGTAAAGTACACAAGCTGGAAGGTTTAAAAAGCATTACCATGTAGCTAATCAGTGTAATCTGTAATTAAATACACCATACTGTAATTGAGTGAGATTACCAGCAGCTATGCAGTCCAGCCTGATCCTATTATCAGCCCAGCGCACAATCTGTTAGCTCGTTGCCACATTCTGTATTAACTGTGTCGCTTCCTTTATTCACAGCGCCAATGATGTGTGCGCGGTTCTGGCAGCTGGCTTTGTTTTAGCCACAGCCTGAGGGAGGCATTGGGCCAAAAGTGCGTCTTCCGAGAGCAGTCCTCCCTCGGGAAGTTGAACATTCTTTAATTAACCAAAAATCAGTCTCACTTATATTTGCATCCTGTGTTGCAGATGGGAAATGCCTCCAACTCCTCAGCATTCATTTCCACCTTATCTGAGCGAGAAGACCTCATTTTTGGAACCCTTTATTCACTCTTTGGTAAGGAAAGACTGCCTGTTGTACAGTCACATGCCCACCTTCATCAAGGACAACACAGACTACTGAAATGCCTGATGCAGAGTTTGTTGGGTTCCTTGCATTCACTCTCACTAACATTTAAAAGTGATGGCATTATATTTGCATTCACGTTGCAATAGCACATTGAAGTTATTAGATGAGATTTGGCTACAAAATATTTGCAAACATCACAAAAGGAACTTATATCAACATTTAATTACTAAACAAAGACTTACACCATTAGGAAACGTGACTTAGCTAGAACTAACCAACTGTAGGATGTTTTCTAGCCGTAAATGGTTTTCTTAAACTTTAAAGAATGAAGATTTTTAGAGTGCTCATGGAAGACATTATTTGTAAAAGGAAAAAAATCTAGCACCTTTTGAGTAGGTTTAAACTACAGGCTTGTTCTTGTATGGGAAGGGAGCAAAGGAGAACTTACTTTCAGAGCTTACTTTGAGGTCCGAGAACATGCTCTCTCCATTCCTATTAGTTCCTAAATAAAGCATTCTTTAAGACATTTAAGCCTCTTTTTAAAACCTAAATATGTTTTGAAGTCTGTTGCTTAGGATAAAACCATGCCTAGTCCATGTGATATCTTATGTCAGACTGCTGTGTTCTGGTTTTTGATAAAAACAATCTGTTGGTAGTTTCCTTTTGAATTAAGGCTCCTTAGATTTGTAGTCTACCATTCATAGCATTAAAAACTTCCAATTAAAAACTTCTATTGAACATTTTAAACAAGACACAGATCACACTATCAAAAGTTTATACACGTCTTTCAAAATGCAACTTAAAGAAAAATTTTGTAGAAAGTTTTAAAGCAAAATCAAAATTACATGTTCAGACTTTCAAAGTTGTTTTATGGCTCCGTGTGGGGTATTAGTGTAGACACGCAGCTCACCAAGTACGTCTACACCGGGGTGGGCAAAATGCGGCCCGCCAGGCCATTTTGTCTGGCCTGGGGGACCCCTAAAACATTTAGAAAATTCATATTAATCGGCCCTGGACTGCCTGTCATGCGGCCCTCGGTGGCTTGCTGAAACTCAAGCCATCTTGAGCGGCCCTCTGCCCAAAATAATTGCCCGCCCATGGTCTACACGCTGCCATATAGCAATATTGCTATGGTGCCATGCTTTTAGTACTTCCTTTTTGGAAGTACTAAAGCATGGTGCAGTATGCATGGTTACTGTGCTGTGCACACGGATACATTTTGTCGCTACATTGCTGTAACGGCGCGCTATCCCTGGGGAGTGTGCCACTATGGCGATGTAGCTGATCTCGTGTAGACACAGTTGCTATGTTGCCATAGGGTGATGTATAGACTCTCCCGCTGTGTCTAGGGCCAGGGACCTCAGGGTTTTCAGGACCTGTGGCTCCAGTGAGCTGGCCCACTGCCAGGACTTTGTTCTTTTCAATAAGGAATTCTGAATGTCTTTTTTTCCCCTAATTGAAACCAAATGAAGTTTTAAACATTGCAGATTTTGGAGATGGTCAGCCTTTCTCTGCTCAGCTCCAGTAAAAAAGTGTGAGCTGAGAAGAGTCCTATAGCAGGCACTAAGGTATGGAGAAAGATAAGTCCCAGGAAAAAAAAAAAGCAAAGGACTCTTTACAAAGAGCACCAGGGCTGCCCAGTATTCACAGGGTCATATCCTGCTCTGTGACGCTGGTGTAAATCTAGAGCAACTTGTTTGCAGTCATAATACTTACTGGTGTAACCGAGCACAGACTTTTGGTGCACGGTCCCGTGCAGCTGTCTTACACGTGACTTGTCTCCTGTGGGTTTCAATAGGGAGCAAAGGAAATTAATCAGTGTCAGTTCTGCCAAGTAAAAGGCAGGGTAGATATTGCCAGGAGACACTTAAAGTTGCATGGAACAGAAGGATGTCTCCTGGCAGACACAGAACGGACTAATCACTTGATTGTCTCTGGAAAAAAGTTGCTTGTTGAATAAAGGGATCACCTGAGTCATCTGATCAGGCCTGGGCTCCTGAACTAGATACAACTCACCCTGTGTCTCTAAGACCATCTCCAAAACCTACAAACCAGGGAGCCTGCCCTGTCCTCTGAACTCACCTTCATAGCTGAAAGCCAGGCTGGTCACATCCTTAGAGTTTCATTCCATTCTTCTCCAATAAACTGGGACTGTGCGCGACAGGCCACTGTAATGCTGAAAGGTTCCCAGTAGCTGTGCTGGCAGCTCTTAGGATTTTATCATGAATCTTATGTTTCTCGTGAACCCACAACTCTGGCAGACACATAAATAAGGGAGCGTCTCAGCATTCAACGACTGAAGTCTTTAGCTCTTGCACTTCTAAGCATTTACTCCACAGATATGACCTAACAGCTTCTTAAAGACTCTAGGGCCATGAGAAAAAAGCAGAGAACCCAGCCTGTTATAATTAAATATCATGATTTTCAATATCAGCATTGTGATTTTTCAAGGGGTCTTATTGCTAAGGATCTGCATTTTGCATACTTACTTTCCTCTTATCCAAGTCTGATTAGCTTCCTCTTCTGGAGGTAAGTCAGTCCAGGAACAGCACACCCATCACAAACCCCAGAGCACAGAAAATCTTGTTCCTGTACTTGTCTTGTTCTTATTCTTGGTTGGAGACTCCCTTCTGTGGGGGATGGAGGGATCCATCTGCCAGCCTGACCTGTTGTCCCGGGAGGTCTGCTACATGCCTGGAGCACAGAGTGGAGATGTCATGAGGATTACTGAGACTCATCCAACCATCTGACTACTACCCCGTGTTGCTCATACTTCCAGGGGTAACCCTGAGCAGATCAAGAGTGACTACAGGGCTCTGGGTGCAAGGGTGAAGGGGACAGGGGCACAAGTCGTGTTCTCCTCAATCCTTCTGGTCAAAGGGAAGGGCCCTGGCAGGAGTGGACAGATCCTGCAGATCAATACATGGCTGTGCAGGTGGGGTCGCCAGCAGGGATTCAGCATCTTTGACCATGGGATGTTCCAAGAAGAAGGCTTGCTAGGAAGAGGTGGGATCCATGTGACAAAGAGAAGGAAGAGCATTTTCGCAGACAGGCTCACTAACCCAGTGAGGAGGAGGGCTGTAACTAGGTTTGCCAGGGGATGGAGGACAAAGCCCTGAGGTAAGTGGGGAACCTGGAGGAAGCAGGAGAAGGCAGCAGGGGAGGCCTCATTCTTCCTAAGAAAGTAGGGCAATTGACTGGTTACTTTAGGTGCCTGCACACAAATGCATGGAGCTGGGAAACAAGCAGGAAGAACTGGAAGTCCTTGCACAGTCAAAGAACTATGACATGATCGGAATAACAGCCTTGGTTTGATCTCTCATAACTGGCGCTCTGTCATGGATGGGTACAAACTGTTCAGGAAGGACAGGGAGGGGAAAAGAGAAGGAGGAGTTACACTTTATGTACAATTGCTCAGAGCTACAGTATGGCAGCCAGTATCAAGTGGAGTGCCCCAGCAGTCGGTCCTGGGCCTGGCTTTGTTCAATATCTTCATGAATGATCTGGAAGATGGGATGGATTGCACCCTCAGCAAGTTTTCAGGTGACACCAAGCTGGGTGGAGTAGTAGATACACTGGAGAGTAGGGCTAGGATTCAGTGACCTAGACAAATTGGAGGATTAGACCAAAAGAAATCTCATGAGGTTCAACAAGGACAAGTGCAAAATCCTGCACTTAGGACAGAACAATCCCATGCACCGGTAAAGACTGAGGACTGACTGGCTAAGCAGCAGCTTTGCAGAAAAGGACCTGGGAGTTATAGGGGACAATAAGATGGATATGAGTCAGCAGCATGCCCTTGTTGCCAAGAAGGCTAACAGCATGCTGGGCTGCATTAGTAGGAGCATTGCTAGCAGATTCAGGGAAGTAATTATTCTGCACTGCTGAGGCCACATCTGGAATAGCATGTCCAGTTTTCGGCCCTCCACTACAGAAAGGATGTGGACAAGTTGGGGGGAGTCCAGCGAAGGGAAACAAAAATGGTTAGGGGGCTGGAGCACATGACTTATGAAGACAGGTGGATGGATCTGGGTTTATTTAGCTTGCAGAAGAGAAGACTGGGGGAATTTAATAGCAGCCTTCAACTGTCTGAAGGATGTTTTCAAAGAGAATGGAGCTGGACTGTTTTCAGTGGTGGCAGATGACAGAACAAGGAGCAACGGTCTCAAGTTGTAGCAAGGGAAGTTTAGGATAGATATTAGGAAAAACCTTCTCACTAGGAGGGTGGTATAGCACAGGGATGGGTTACCTAGAGAGGTGCTGGAATTTCCATCCTTGGAGGTTAAGGCCTGGCTTGACAAATGATCTGGAATTGTGGCCTGACTTGACAATGATCATTCCCTGGCTGGAATGATTTAGTTGGGGATGGTCTTGGTCTGAGGAGGGGGTTGGACTACATGACCTCCTGAGGTCCCTTATAACCCTAATTTTCTATGATTCTATGACACTTAAGACAGGGATATTACATTATTTTATACAGCTTGAGCTCATATGTTAATTAGGAACGTTGGTCCACTTTTATGTCCCACGTAAGGGTCTTTGCAACCTGGAAGGTGTGCAAGTACAGCAAATGCTGGGTTGCACATCCAACCAATCTATGAATGCACGTCCACGCAGCCCCAGAAATGCACACACAGAATACACGCTTGCAGAAACATGCAGAACTGGATTTGCTGGCAGAAATTCAAGTGGCTGGTGGGTTGGCAGCAGTGGCTGCTAAGTGTGTACACATCCCTGGTTCCACTGCATCTGCTGTGCTGCTGGAGCACAAAGTGCACCCTTGAAAGTGCATGGGAGCATCTACTTGCACCTTCCTGCTGCTGGGCATCAACAGAAGCCTACTTTAGCTCAGGAGAACGGATGTAACTCTGCTGGCAGAAAGGGAAGCATGTGTGCTGCTACAGGGGAACCCTGAGGTAGACACACTCAAAGAGCTGCTGGAAGAATGTAGTATACAGTAGACCACAGCCTGGGTACATATGCACCCCTGGTCGTACATATATGAAAGAGTGCACAGAAGCACCCATATGGAGAAGAATCATAGAAAATGAGGGTTGGAAGGGATGTCAGTTGGGGATGGTCCTGCTTTGAGACTAGATGACCTCCTATCTCATCCCAGCCAAGAGATCGGCACAACAGCAGACATGGAAAGAAACAGGTCTGCACTCCACTCACAACTATGCTGGAGATGGTAAAGTTGAGAATGCCAGGTCCTTCTAGATGGCCACTAAAGATCCTAGAAGATGCTAAAGCTGGCAAAAAGATGTGAGGGAAGGAGCCAAGAGAGATTTACAGAGCTCTCACTGGCCTGGAAACAAGAACAAATGTTTCCAAATCTTTTCCCATTAAGTGACCCAGACACAGTGTGCTCAGGAGCAAGCTCCACTGCTAATGTATTGAGGAAAAGATCTTTGTATTAGCCATTATGCAGTTTAGGTATGCAAATTGTAATCAGAATATTTAATTTACAGCCTAATCCATTAGGAAGTAATTCCAGTACCATGTAACCTGCCCCTGGAGTAGCTGGGGGCCCCTTTGTGGATACATAAAAACACACTTTAAATGAAACTAATGTTGCTTAGTAGCATGAGAAAACCCTGGGCATAACAATTTAATTACTGCTGGGTTTTTTTTTAATACGTTGAAAAGAAAACACCAGCTTTTCCCTGTCGTTTATGCTAGATTTTCCCTTAATCTTCATAATATCCTCGTTTACTTTGTAAGCCCAACATTGTACAGCACAGACTCACACTAGGGAGATTTTTTAATTTCTTCCTGGCAAACAAACATGCCTAATTACTTGGCATCATGTCGCAACAGCAGCAGCAAAATACACATCATGTATCTACATGGAAATGGCTGGGCTTGTCTCTTCAGTCATCAGAAGCAAGTTTTGTCTTGGACTCTGTGCCCTGCATGCATCTACCTGCCGCCCTGGGCTCGTGTTCTGAAGCATCTCTAGCAGCAATTGGAAGTAATGACATTGAAAGTTGCCCTCAACACTCAGAGCCTGATGCCATAGAGAGTTAGTTTTGTGGATGTTCTGCACTGAACTTTTAAAAGCCACTTTCTTTACCAGCATGTCCAAGAAATATGTCACATGTTGGGGTGTGACAGACCTTGAACAATCTGAAGACACTGCTGTCCTTGGAACATTTCAGATGATGCATCCAAGACAGCTTCAAGTTCCTGGCTCTGGCTGGTTACCTGGTGCTCCTTAAAGCAAGGTGTAGGGGGAGCTAGTATGAGAACAGATGCAATTCTACAAGATAATGTAGCTATGGTAGTACAAAAGACTCCAGCCCTAGCACACCCAGTATTAACTATTTCGTTCCAAGAGGCTGGTCAGACAGACTGAACTGAATTCTAGTGCAGTCCCATATCTTGTCTCCAACCAGTCTGATTTCTGAGTACTCATTAACCAATGCATAAGGTGCTGAGATGAAGGAGAGGTGCAGAGTTAGGAGCTTTGCTGATCATGCCCATCTTGGAGGAGCATCCCCAAAGTACTCACTATACTCCCAAATTCCTCTGTTTCTCAGTTTCCCCTTGATTAAGAATTAAGAAGATATGTTATTCAGAGCATTATGCCAATCTTAAGGCCCGTCCCAAGGTCTGTGCATGTGAGGTATATCTGTTCTCCCCTCACCACATTCAGACAGGCGGGGGAGAGTTGGCCTCTGGGTACACATAGAGGATTGGTTAAGGGAACACAACCCCACAGTGAGATGGCCTGTGACCAGCAAGACTCATACCTACCTACAGGGATGCTTCCCACTCCCAGTCGTTCACTGATCCTGCTGCTGGCAAGCTGGGCTAGCATTTACAGGTTGGTTTCTCTCTAACTTTCTCAGGCATCGTCTCTCTCTTTGGGAACTCCCTGCTCCTGCTGGTGGCCTATCGGAAGAGATCCATGCTGAAGCCTGCCGAATTCTTCATCGTGAATCTGGCCGTCAGTGACCTGGGCATGACACTGACGCTCTTCCCTCTGGCCACCCCCTCCTTCTTTGCACACAGGTAGTTCAGCTGAAAGCCGTTGCACTTCAAGTGGGTTGCCAATCTGAAGAGCCTACCTTGACCTGATGAATTCTCAGGGGGGCCAAATTCAGGGGTTGTTTGGAGTAAATCTCGTGGAATGAATCCAGTGTGAATGGGGAGAAAATAGTGTTAATTCGTCTACAGTAGGAAGTTATTCCCAGGGCCAGGCCTAAGACCTATCCTCAACAGTGAGCTAAATGTCATGTGATATGGCCCCAGCTGTGGGAGTAGTCATTGCTTGTCCCCTCCTCTTCCCTAGCTAATACTCTCCTGAACACAAGTAGCTACTGCTGGCCCTGCCATGGGCCCTATATGTGTGCTCTTCTCTGGACATAGCTCCCTTCTCATTCCCTGTGCTGACTCATACTGCTCCCCTTGCTGATCCTGGTTTGGCCATCAGACTTGCTGCTGCCAGCATATCATTTGCAGGTTGCACATTGTCTCTACTACCCAACAAGGGGTGGACCTGCCGGGCTTTGAGAGTGACAGTCCAAATCCCTGTGACACTGCAGGGAACCACTGGGGCAGTGGAAGAAGCCAGAGTTGTCCCAAAGGAGCCAGTTACAGGTCATAAACTGTAGATGCCTTGCCTTATGCCATAGCAGGATGTTATGCCAGCAGGATTTGTAACTTAAAGTATTGTGTGTCTCCAAACTAAGCTTTAATACAGGTATTTTGGCTACATGCATTGTCCTTCCAAAACAGACCTGTTACATTCTTGTTCCTAGCTCTGGCACTGACCTGCTGCACAGCTTTGGGCAAATACCTCCACTTCTTTGTGCCCCAAAGAAAGTTGCCCCATCTATAAAATGGGGACAATGATCCTTCCTGACCTTTGTAAAGAGCTTTGGCAGCTGGATGAGAAGTACTAAGGACATGCCAGCTGTTTTTATTACTTCCCTACAACTGATACAAGGTCACAAGCCTGCCAGAAGAGCAAGACTGCATCAATGAAATGCAGAGAAGGAGCTGGAGGCCTCAGCTTAACATGCTATATGAACACAAAGGGCTTGGATTGACCTGATGATTTTTTCCTTCCAGGTGGCTGTTTGACCATGCAATGTGCACGTTTTATGCCTTCTGTGGAGTGTTCTTTGGCCTGTGCAGTCTAACCAGTCTCACAGTGCTAAGCACAGTTTGCTGCCTGAAGGTCTGTTACCCAACATATGGTAAGTGCCGAGATACGTTACCCTCTCCCTCCCTATGTTCCCTCAGCTCCTCTCAGTCTTCCACATTTTGTCTGTCTGAGAGTCACTGGGTGCACCTATATGAGATGTTTCACTGTGCAGTAAAGCTAGTTACTGTGCAGTAAGTATCTGTGTACCTGCAAATGCAAGTAGCAAATTTATTTGAGATTACTTACTGCGCAGTAGCACACATGTAGACACCTGACTGGGAGCAAATGTGCTGCTGGGCAGCAGGAGACAGGAGATTGCTCTCTGCCCTCAGGAGCTGCCTGCTGCTGAGGGTCTTTATCTCCCACAGTCACAGGGCCCGGGCTGGGAGATCCTTCTGCGATCGCAGAGTGGGGGCTAGGCGCTCCATGGTGCTGGGGCAGAGGGACACTGTCCCCACCCATGCTTTGGTGGTGGAGCCCACCCCAGCAGCAGGCAGCTCCCAGGGGCAGGAAGCAATATCCCAGGCTCTGCCAGGAGACAGCTGTCTCCTGGCCCCTGGGCTAGTACCGAAGGGGAGCCTAGAGCTCCCCCGGCAGCTGCAGGAGCCCATTGTAGGGCTGCAGGGAGCGGAAGCAGTCTGCTGCTCAGAGCAGCAAATCTCCTCCTGCATCTCTGAACATGTAGACATGTGCCTCAAGAGTAAACTGTTCCCAGACTATTTTCACATGTAGATGCACCCGCTCTGGCAACTGAAGGAAGTTATTTAACACGGGCTTATGGCACAGCTGTCACTCACTCTGCCTTGACCCAGCGGCCGTATTGCCTGTGTCCGATTTGGGAAGTTTCTTGTTTTATGGCTGCAAGTCTGCATTCAGATGCAAGTTTCATCTTATCATCACCATCAGCCTGGTGGTGGACCTGAAGGCTGGACCTGAAGTCCTGTCAGCTTATAGGAGGATAATCATAGACTCAACTTAGGCTCAAGCAGCACACACAGATGTATACTTAGTTCTGAATGTCTGAGCTTTTATCTGATGCATCTATATCATATATGCAAGAAGGTCATATGCACTGTGGAAATTTCTTAGAGAAAACATGCATGTTCCTTGAGAGCTGAGGCAGTCCAGCTGAGTCACTCTTGTATTAAAAGGAAGCATTGTTGGCACTGTGTTATCTTCCAGAGTCCTTCAACCTTCAGAATCCACCAACATTCCTGATCTCTGAAATGACCCAGGTCACAGTACAAGGTGTGTCTTTACTGAGAGAGGCCCATCCCAACACCCCAAGCAGTCTTGATGAAACTACTGGAGCTCTGGGACAGAAGCAGGCCCTACAGTTTGCTAGGAGGTAGAGGTTCGTTAGGAGCTGAGCTGGTGCAGAGCAGGAAGTACCAGGGGTGCAAAGTTTTGTTGAGCTGCAAGGTCAGTTGTTTCATAGAAACTCCAAAAGACAGGGCTCGTAGGGTGTAAACTCCACCTCAGTGCCACGGCAGGGAGAGCTCCATGTGTGCAGCTTCTTAAAACAGAAGAAATGGAGCTGCCATGGCTTGTATGCGTCTTATTCAGATGTGCAAACCTCCTGATCTTTTATGTTGATCCACCATAAACAGTATTTATTGGACTCTATTTAAATCATCAGTACTCTAGGATCAGACTGGCGGTAGGAAGAGTTATTTTCCTAGAGACAGACCACATTTTTACCTGAAAACAAACTTAGGAGAAAACACGGGGTACAAACTGCACCCACAAAAGAGGGAGCTTCTGAAATTGCAGCCAAAGTGTTCAGCTCTCCTCCTGCAGGAATTGCCCCTTTTTTGTCTTATTCAGGCAGCTGGACTTGCCTGCCTGCATATATCTTCACAGTGGCTTTTGGCTTACAGGCTGAAATATAAATATCATAAACATGAAAGATATTAACTTGATTTGCAGACAAATTTTCCGAGATATATTCTCCCATAAATTCCTTTTGCTGTAGCCCAGAATGGATGCTGAGTGGGTATGGTAAGACCCAAATAGCAGGATTTCAGTCACCCCTTACGCTGGCATCCATCTTGTGACGGTGTCTGGCAGACTAGTGATTTAAACATGCTCAGAACACAGTAACACATTTCTAATACTGTGGGCCCAGGAAGGGACGCCCAGGCTAGTTTACACAACAGTTTCTCAAAGGGTAATTGAATCCTGATCCTGAACTATTGTGTTCTGTTCATGACTTTGGCGAGAGCAGGATTGAGCTCTCTGGGAGGCTGTACCTTCGGGAGGGAGAGCTCAAACCCCTGTTTTGCCACATTGAACCCTGCAGCTGCATATTCAAGAAGACTATTTTGCTGGGGCATAAGGATTTGCCTGCAAACTTTTGCAGGAATCTGAGTGGCGGCCACCTCAACATTCACTTGACCCTGGCTAATGACAGTCCAGTTTGTAGCTGGCATTGGAACGGAGTCATCTCAGCTGCAGCCAGCACAAGGCTCTTGGGATTCCTTTTTATGGTTGCAGAAAGTATCACAAAAGGTGGAAGGAAAGATAAAGAATAATACTGGACGTGAAAAGACAGCCAGGTACCAGCACCATCTCCCTCTGCAATTTCTGGTCCGACTCTTGAGATTTTTCCAGTGCTGCCTGCATGGCATCTTGAGCTTATCTGCCTGGCATGCACTTGTGCATTCTCCTCTAGGAAATGACTAATCTCAGCATATTTTTAATTGCATAGATTCAAAATAAAAGTTATTCTTACATATGTCTGAAGATTTAGCTCTTTACAATTAAGCTCTTGGCAGAACAGAGGATGTAGGATTTAAGGGAGGGAGGGAAGAATTGAGAGACAGCGAGAAAAAGCCCAACCCACCCTTGTGCAGAACAATCTGGCTTTTATGAAAGCAGTTCTGATTATGATGCTGATTTGAATTGAAATAAAAAGGCCCAATCTTCCTCTGCTCCCCTCTCCCCATTCCCAGATGCAATATCCCTCTGCCTGCTTCCCTAATCCTTCTTTCCAGCCGTGTTTAGGGGCTCTCAGCATCTTTCAGCCTATAAACTCCTGGATGGCCCAAAATTTTTGGAACTGGAGGTGAAAGAGTTCAAGCCATCATCCATGGGGCCAATGAGGGCCTGAATAGAAAGGGCTTCACTTCAACATGTTCTCCATATCATTATCAGCATCATCTACAGTGAAGATAGCATTTGGTATATCAATAATGGGTGCTGCATTGACAAAGGAAGTCACAGCTCTGACTTCAAAGGCTGCCCTGACTCCAAAGACAGTCCCTCTAACAGACAAAGGATAGGCAAGAGTTCGGTCTAGTGTTAAATAATCCAAATGCTGGTGCCCTCCTGTCTTGCCTGTAAGACTATTATAAGTCAAGAATTAGTATAGCTCATTCTTGGGGTGCCTCCGTTTTGCACAATACAAACCTCAGGCTGAACAGACCCATTTTCCAAGGCACCGGGGTAATCGGGCATTGATTTACATGGACTCTGGGAGAGAAGAGGAAGCCAGGGCTATCCAGCCATTGCAGAAGTCTGGAACTGACTGGCATTTGCTGTGCAAACTGGGGCATGTCAGTTAGCCTCCCTCTCTTCCCTGCTTCTCTGCTCTGTCAGCTGGGGACAGCAGTACGTGTGTGCACATCTCCCAGGAGCCTCACAGAGTTTTATTAATTAATGCTCACACAACTCTCTCGGCTCCTCTGAGGAACATCAGGCCCTGTTCTTTTCCAGCATTTCCCTTCTGAGCTAAAGCCAGCTGCTTTTGCTCTTGCTGAGGAAGGCCATGCCGTGCGTGTTTGCTGCAGCATCCTCCTGGCTGGACACAAGTCACAGGTCAATGGCAGGCAGCTCTGGCTGTTTGCCCAAAGTCTGACACTTCGGCAGGGCTGCCTGTAGCCTTGCTGTTTCCATCATCCCATTTCGCTGGGGTTGCCTATAGTGAAGTGGAAAGAGTTCAGTTCTCAGCAGCTAACTGCCTGAAAGCCTGTTCTGTCCCATTTTGACTCGCTGTCATGGGTAACAGGCACCTAAACAGCAAGGAAAGATGCTCAATTGGTACAAGACCTCTCTGAAATGACTCTAGTCCTGGATGCTTGCAGAAAATAGTGAGGGACGACTGTTGCTCTCTGTCCAGACTGCTCGCCCATGGATTCTCTCCCCCAAAGCTCAGTCCCACCATGTGGAGATGCTGAGGAGAAACTTGAGATGCTGTGGCCTCAGCAGCCAAGGTGCAGAGGGTATCGTCATTAGGGACCTACTTCACTTGCAGTAAGGTGAAGCCATTTTCGTGGCTTGCTTATGGCAGGAAGGGCCAATTTCATGGGCATTTTCTGGCGGCCCTGCCCCTCGCTGCAGATTGGCGGAGTGGCCCCGCCATCGCTGCAGACAGTCAGTAAGTCTCAAGCACATGAATGCAGGGATTGCTGTGTTGTCCAAGTATCATGGTAAGGATTGGGTGTTTCTAAAACAGTGTATTATATGAATAATTGGCTGTTTTTTGGGAGGGAGTTGACTTCATAGAATCACAGAAAATTAGGGTTGCATTCCTGCACCGATCTGCAGGAATTTGCATGGGAAATCACGACTGATGGACTATTTCCTGGCGATTGCACATACTGCCATTTTTTTGTGGTTTCTGTGAAAACTGTGAATTAAGTAGGTCACTAATCATCATCATTTCTTCTGATGAGAAAAAACTCCATCTCCCTCTGCCCAGATGAGACAAACACCTTTATGAAGATGAAACTAGCCAAAGTAAAAGTGACGTTAGAGTGATGAACTTTCTGAGTGAGAAGATGGAAATACTTTAGAAACCTAGCTGCCACTAACACCGTGCCCTGAATTAAAGGAGGCTGCTAATACAGAGTTCCCGCAGAGCCCTCACTGGAACTGAACACGTACATCACAATGACTGTGAAAACTCTTCTCTTTCTTTACAAGTGGCGAGAAGGCTGAGACCCACCTTATCAAGCAGGCCTGACCATACTGTTCTGGACCCCTGTGCCTCCAGGTGGGCTGTCTGCCCCTCGCTGGGTCTGCGTATGAGCTTTAGTAATTCCAGAACACAGCACTGTTCTCCGAATAGCCGCCAGGAGCACCTTGCCTTCCAAGGTTTCAGAGACTGCCCAAGATACCTCAAAGCATGCCTCTCTGTAACAATGACCCCCCTCCACAGCTGTACTCCTCCCTGAACTTGGAAGTTGCCAGGCTTCAGGGTGAGGCTGGCAATAGGGCCAAGACTATGGAACTCCTTACTGGAGAATGTGAAGATGCCCACTGATGGCATGCTAAGAACCTAGAGGTACTACCACACGACCAAGATAGTGTATATGTTCAGGTTGATTTTATGCCAATTAAGTGTGCAACCACATGTATTTTTTTGAAAATATGGGCCTCATATCTACTAATCTGTGTTTTGTAACGGTCTTGAACAAACAGTGATGATCACTAGTCAGCTGGGAAAAAGACCAAATTAAAAAAACACATTAAATAACGTCCTGCATACAGAAAAACCCAGAAAACAATCTGTTGCAGGTACACATAGTATCAGCCTTCAGGGCATGCACATTTGGTTTCTATTCTGAATTCCATTCATTGTACGTGGCAGATATCCAAGAGTCACATTATTCTCTTACTACAATCAATATTGCTATAGTATTACTTTGGCAGTATGTGTGGGGGGCATAATCAGCGTATGGATGAATCAACAGCAGATTAACACTGAAACATGCAGATCCAGCCCTCCAGGCTGGAGCTTTCCACTGACGTTGCCCTTAAGGGACTCCTACTACAGGGCTTCCGAAAGAGATTTGCAGGTGCAGCTGTTTGCATGAAACCCTACATGTGTACATACCCAAAGAGCCCTCTCTGTGCAGACCATTTACTGCCTGAATATGTGCTCCTCAAAAAAACTGCACGCTCAAAAACCTGCATTTCCCAAAGCCCTTTGAAAACCTGAACCAGAAAACACAAGTTTTAGGACCCCAAACTTACACTTTTGTCTAAACCCTTAGTATATTTGCCACATTTCTCAAATCAGTTGCTTTGCAAATGAAAACTGAAAACATTAGGGAAGGGGTAGCTGGGTCTTTTAAAACAACAGTCAGGAGTGCATTCACTGCCTGGAAGGAAAGAAACCTGCATCAAAGAGCGCAGAATGAGGGTGCAAGAAATATGTTGCCTCTCCTTAGCTCAGCTGTATCTCTCTCTTTTGCAGGCAATAAATTCTCTCCCACCCATGCTGGCATCCTGTTACTGTGCGTTTGGGCCTATGCACTTGCCTTTGCTATAGCACCGTTAGCTGACTGGGGCAGTTATGGACCAGAGCCCTATGGAACAGCCTGCTGCATTACGTGGAAAGCTTCGACCAGAGAGGCAATGGTCTATGTCATGGCTCTCTTCATCTTCTGTTACATCATCCCCTGTCTCCTGATTGTCGTCTCCTACTCACTCATCCTTTGGACTGTGAAAGTGTCCCGAAGAGCAGTGAAGCAACATATGTCTGCACAGAGCAAAAACAACAGTGTGCACAGCCTGATTGTAAAGGTAGGAAAGTGGGGCAGGGCAGGGGGCATCGCTGGGAGAGTTCTCACCACATATGGGAAGACTCTTAACTGAGGAGACGCAGAGAGGCTTATTGGCCTGGGATGCAGGACACTTGGGTTCTGCTCTGAGCTCAGCCACAGATTTCCCCTGACCTGAGGCAGGCCCCTATCCCTCTCATTGCCTTCAGTTCTTCAGCTAAAAATGGGAACCACGATGCTGCTTTACTTTTGTGAAGCCCCTTGAGATCTGTGTGTGTAGAGCACAAAGTTTTATCACATATAAAAAAGCAGCTGGGGGTAGCTGTGAATTTGGACTAGCTGAGTTTCTAGGGAGGTTCACCTTTCAAGCCAGTTGGGAACAGAATTCTGCAGCTCAAGCACAACTTCTAGTATAAGCAGGGACAGAGGCTATGGAGCCTGTTTCCTTGGTATTGCAGCAACATCAGAAAGCATCAGGCACTTTGTATCGTCCTTCCACTGTTTCTTGATCACCCACTAGTTTAATGCTCAATACATCCCTTCTGGGCTTGGGGTCCTGGTAGGTGATCTAAGAGGCTTTCACCATCTCTCACTATTGTGATCTCCAAGAGGAGCTGAACTCCCAACGCCAGTCACTAACTAGAGGTGACACAGGATTAGTTGCCTTAGTGCATCAGGTCACTGCCACTTCAAGTCTAGCATTCCTCTTTTGACAGCAGCCAGTATCTGATGCTACACCCAGTTCTGTACATGCCCAGTTAAGCAACACACACAAAGGCAATTCCTTCCAAACTTCACCAGTGATTGCCAGAAATACGAGGTTGCATTACCCTCCTCTTATCGATGCCAGGCGCCATCAGGTGATACGCCTCCACCACTGCTGAGGGAGCGTTCGAGGGACAAGTTAAATGTACAAATGCATGCCAAATTTTCATGTGCAATTACATATGCAGATGGCTGATTGATTCTGTCAGGCACATAATTACCAGGTTAAGGTGCACACGTGCAGTGAATGCACACATATTTACAAATGACACAGTATCTACAGGCACAGAATCTCATCTTAGAACGTCCCCAAAAACTCAACAGAAAAGCTGTAGAAGGCTACAAAAGCTGAAGCTGATTGCTCCTCACTAGTACTGGGCCCAAAGCCAAAGCTGAAGATGCCACATTCCAAATTTTTGTTAAAACTGGATTTGCACTTGAATCCAGATTTTGCAGCTCTGTCCCATCTCTTTCATTTCCAAAAGGAAAAAAAAATACATATATCAGTGTCCAAATGCCCCCAAAATGCTTTGGCAGCTGAGAAGGATGCCTGAGGACTTGGAAAATGCAACTAATAAATAACTGAGAATGTGAAAATAGGAAGGGAGAGAGACAGCTAGTGCCATTTCCCTGCGCAGTGACACATGAATGAAACATGCAGAATCAGGACAAGTACAAATCTCTCATTATATGTATAAAAAATAATCTTTTTTGAGGCTACTCACCTCTCCTCTGACATTAACCAGGCACAAGACATGATGGGGGAAAGCATATTATATATAAAAATAAAAGGAAAGTACAAGTCAAAGGTTGGGAAGCCCAGCTTATCTTGTGACAGCCGTGTGACAGGCTCCTCCCAGAGCTGCCTTGATTTGTCAAGAAGAGCATTGTCCTTTATTCTGGAGAAACTTGGAGTCAGGCTGGCAAAGCCACCGTCACTGGTGACAGATGGAAGCTTCTTCCTGGGGGTGATACTTGCACACAGTAAGGTCTTGCTCACTGATTCAAACGCTGACTTTTTTGGAGCACCAAGCCAGGCACCTGCTTGAAGCTGCATCTATGATCGACAATCCCTTGATTTGAGGATGATCTCTGTGGCGGGCCAGTAGGGGATCCCCCAGTAGGGGGTGCTCCTGCATTGAGCCACCCACCTCACTTCACCCGACCACCTTCCAGGCTCTGAGTGCCTCCTAGGGGGTGCCTCACATCCAGCCGACCCCCTTCCTGGAGCATGTGGCAGAAAGCCACCTTGGTTTCTCCCCCAAAATCTCTGCCCTGTGACACTGTGATTTACATCTCTGTGCTGTGACCATTCAGTTAGGATGGGCCCAGCACACGGGACCACACCCTCAGCCTGTCTCTTTAGGGAACTG